GGGGGATCTCCATTTTTATATCCCCTTAAGGTACTTTCTTTTTGCGGGAAAAAGAAATTGTCTGCGTCGTCGTCTTAATGTGCATTTAAATAAATAAAAATTTAAAAATATGTGTCTCAGGGACATATTCATACTTGCTATGACCCGACAACACGTACTGTACATCTCTAGCATATCGTCATTGAATGTAAATCAACAGCGCAACATATTCCTCTGCTGCGAATCACACAAGGAGTTAACCCTCCCAAGGAAGCTCACCCCCTTTCTCCTTCCATCGCACATCCCCGTTTTGAGTGATGGCTTCCATATTACATTAGCATTTGAAAAGCCTGGAAAGAATTTCCCCCCTCCGAGGGAAACGCGCGCAGGCGATCAAAAGTTTTCGCCCCAAGTTCTCTCTCTCTCGTGAGTGCGACACTCGATGTCGATCGGGGCTGTCGGTGCAGGGTCGGTCCCCCCCCCCCTCCCCCCTCGGGAGAGAGAGAGAGAGAGAGAGAGGCGGTTATTATTTCGTAATGCAATGCCGATGGTTCGGCACGCGATCTCCTCATTTACCATTCCAGGAAATAAGATCGGGAAGAGAATTCTCGGCTCTCGCAGTTCCGCTGAATACCCAAGAAAATCAGCGCAGAATCCCCCCCCCCCCCTATTCAATGGCTTCACTCCCGAAAGTTCCCTTGTCGAGCGCGTATCGTGTCCCTTTTCGAACCTAATCAGAATGTAACCAATGCTGTATATCTTTTATTTATTTTTAAGGTTCTTCAAGGCGGTTTCTATTAACGGCTCATTACGGAAACTCTTTAATTAAGGGTCGTAGCGGCCCAATGGACGACCCGATGCGTGATTTCTCGTTCGACCGACTGTTTAAAAAGTCGATCAACACACGATCTGGGAGGGGAAAAGCATACCCCATCAAAAAATTTACATCCGAGATGAAGGGAGAAACGTCAGAATCAACTAGTGTAGCTCTAGCTCTACAGGAAACAAAACGCCGATCTGAGCGCACCGATCCCCACCGTGATTCCAACCCCTCGGACTGATAAAAACCTACCCTGAACCCCCTAGACGGTGGAGCACCCT